AATATCTTCAAATACAGTCTGTTCATTGACTTTACATGTAATAACTGTTATGTTCTTCAATAATAAGTTCACTCCGTGAGTAAGATTGATAACCGCATTTTATTATTAGTTGATCGGTATTTACAGCTACACGAGGTTACACCTCGATACGATTACAGTTTATACTTCGCACTACAATTAGTAGCTTATCAGTCCGCCTTTTACAATGTTATCACCTACTGTATTACAAGTACTACCATACAATCATCATACAGTACAGTATACGTACATATACAGTATAGTGTTTCCTTTATTTATGCCTTTATGGTTAAGATATCGTATTTAATCTATTACTAACTATATATACTGTACAACAATAACAATATATAATCAATCAAGCATAACATATCGAGTAACAAATTTGTACCTCGATGACAAGAAGAAAATTAAAAACTAGTTAACATTGCGGTTACAATTGAAATTCATGTTCGATTGCGTACGCGTCCGTCGGCTTGTAGTTTATCGATATGTACTGTACAGTACTGTATACATCTGTATATAGATACTTGTCACACACCACTAGTAACAAAGTAGTCTACACACGCCAATCCTTGCGTAGAACGCCACTTACTAACTTAAAGAGGCGAGATTAGCTATATCACCAAATAATTCAGTTCCAACAACCGAATACTATGGTATAATTATAGCGTCACAGATGATGTAGACGAGATAGTCAGAGATTTACTATCATTTATTACTGAAGGAATCTTGGCACCCAAGATTATAGTCTTTACAATTAAATATCAATTGAAAAACTAGTTGACTATCTAACCGACTAACGAACTAAAAAAGAATAACAATACTGTATAGAGTTTACTCTAGTTTGTAGGATAACAAGGAGGTTAATTCAGTTTGTTACCTCTACAGGTGGAATCGGTACCGCTTACGCTTTTCAGAGTAAGACAGCATACTGTGAAAGTCTTTGCAGCTGACCAACATGCGCAATACATGGTACGTCCGTCCACACACTGTTTACAGAGGTCATTCATAATAATAATATTGTACTGTACTCTGCTACTTTTTCGGAAATTAACAGCGGATCCAAGCGATTGATGACAAACAGGTGATGGATAATAGTGGAAAGAATTACAAGATAACTTGATATGGCTGAAATCAGCGATACTACAGCATCATACTACCAAGTTGACTACAACAAATTTTCACCGGCACTACCGCCTACGGCGATTCCATCTGAATACTGTATTGACCACTGGATATCACACTGTCGCATACAGTAGTATTTAACTACAGAGCATTGAAACTTTATAACCTGATAATTCATACGAAATTGATCAAAAAAGTCATATCTTGCTAAGTGTATCCAGCACAAAGCAGAATATGGAAAAAAAGGAAAGAAAGAGTATAGACAGCATCGTTTTATACAGATTAAAACCAGCTACGATCATCGGTGTACTTCACGTAGAACATGGTACAGCACGAAAATACGTAGACAAAAAAAAATTAAAGTTTTCCTTTTTTCTATGCAATTCAACGTTTAATAGAAATGAATTGTTTCCATCAACTAGAAGAAAATATAGCGTAGTTGTTGCCAAGCTTGCAGCAAATATCGTAAATATCGCCGCATTAAAGGAAGATTATCATACCAAGCATAATTTCTTCCTCTTGGTACAGCGTTCTCGGCAAAATCGTCAATGTGCCATAGCCTCCTTTCTTCAGCACGTATATTATCTGCATCATCCATTCAATGCGACTCTCAGGTGGTTGAAGGCGTTTCGACGAAGTAGACCAACTACAGTAATGCGGATACCGATTGAATGTTGCACTTTAGGATAAAACCCAATTTTTTTTAGTTCTAATTGGAACAAAAATATACGAACCAAGGTGGTTTAAATTGATTTGCAGCTTGTAAGTTATAATTTGGAGATGACCGATACACGAAAAATTGGTCGAGTCCTGATGTTCTTTCAAGCAAAATGAACACCGAAGGGAACCCACGGCGCTATATATCAACACTGCTGCCCGATTGCACGCTACTGTACGATGAATGAGATTGCAATGCTGGCCAGTAGTATGATACAGTACAGTACTACCTTGGGCCATTCAAACGATAATGATTTAAATACTGTACCGCGGTCTTCTGGTACTGTACTGTACGAAATGTACTGTAAACAACAAGTCCAGCAAGACTCGACCTTGGGCCGGCAGATTAGCTAATCAAACGATGGTGGCTTATTAAGTACTCTAAAAACAAACAATAACAGTGATAATAGACAATATACTGTAGAAAAAATGTCATGCTAACTACAGTCTTTCAAATAACTTGGTTGATCAGAATTCCTTAAGTTAATGTTTACTACGAATTAACTTTTTCCTAATTGAAAGGTTAATACTTTATAGAGCTTAGGACATTAAACCTTAAATTCAGTCTGAACATACTGCACATTGTACTCTAGTGCTAATTGTCCTTCATTTTCCACTTTATGAGAATACAACCAAATTACTCATTGCTGTAAGCCCGCTAATTGCTCTTAGAGTACTGTATAGTGTATAGTCGTAAACCTCTTTTCTCAAGGAAAGGTAAATAACATCCAAATTTCTACAATCAGCAAATGCTTACCAACTAGCCTTATTATACTGTACGTCTCGAATTAAGAGATATTTCGGTCAAGAAACCACTACCCTATCCATGATGCTGCATGCAGAATAAATTTATCACATATAAAAATAAATACACGTACGCTTATGATAGCTGCACCAGTTCTGTAAATTCGGTTTATTGATAACTTGATGCATACTACTGTACACTGTACAGTATTACAAAGAAAGCAATATAGAAATAAATACATGACATCTACTTAAGCTTAAATAGATGTTGATGAAATTTTTCGCCAAACTTCCCAGCAATAGCAATATTTCGTCCCAGGTCCCTAGTAGTTCTCTAGAATAAAGTTGCAAACTGTCGTCAAATACCACAGAAAAGGTAACATAATTGATACACTTAACATACTACACGCGTAAATGGACGCCATTACAATCAGAATTTACTTTTAATATCATATACAATTCATTTTATAGAATTGTAGATCATCAGGATCCATTGGTAATTAGTCATAGAAATCATCATTTTCATTTGATAGACATTTATAAACATTCTGTATGAACCCAACTTCTACCTATAGAAAATGTTCTTCTCTTTATATAGCAACAGTAATAGCTAACGACTGATAGAACAAAGTACTGCAGTACAGTAGACATGTGAACCATTACAAGTCGAAGTGACTAAGCTAATGCAAATCACTACCCGATGTCAAAAAAACAAACATATTGTACTTACTAAATCAATTCGCCCAGTTTATGTAGCTAATTTAAGAAGAACGAGCCATCTCTCCTTCAGGATGCTGAAAATTACAGCGTAATACAGGAGAACCCGCTTGAAAACGGCTCGTGGAGTACTGCTTGCGGAATGTCGATGATTGATTCGCGCAAAACTTGGGAAGTGACTTTCTTTGCAAGCCTATACGATTTTCATGTACGCAAGATAAAAATTGTAATGTTCAGACCCTCGGAATAGTATCCCCATTAAACTTGACTATAATTTCTGGTCAACTTACAGGCTTTCGTCTAATCAATTGCACGTATCGTCATGAACGCCGAGATGCAGCTCACGAAAGAAGTCATCGATACAATTGATCGCGAGCTTTTACCACGCTGAGATTCTACATGCACATTCGTCATTTGGGCATAAACCTATGATCAAAGTGAAAGATACAGTTCGATTACAGTAATCTACTGCACTGATAAAACAATATACAAGGACTATAAGCCAGTTCAGAACTTCTTAGAGGACATTTTTTGATATAATCACACTATACGATCAGTGGATTGACAGATTAAGTATTCATCATCTTGGCTTCAACATTGAACTTATACATTGTAAAACTTGTAGACAAAACTCTACATAGCCTCAATTTAATTGAGCTAAATATACTGTACTGTATAATTGATTCCAATGTGCCACCTTACTTAGCAAGACTTGTCCTTCATTTTGAATCGGAGATGCATTTTACGACAATTTCTGCGATCAACATCGATCTGGATTGCACTTTATTCTACCTTTCGTACTTGAAAGTTTTTCGGATCAACATTGATCCAGTTTTTCCATGAAAGATGAACTTGCAAGGAAGATTCTTAACGTTCATGTTGAATTCATATCTGAGACCGATCATCCTCCGCTGCAGCCATGTGCGTTTCTTGCCTCAGAAAATCCGAATAGCACTAATCTTGCCCATGCGGCCGGTCTAACGTTTCGCCTGTCATACTGTAGTGTACTGTACTATGTACTGTACAGTACTTGTACAGTATAGAACTTTACAGTACTGTGCTGTACTGAGAACCTGCAATTTACGTACTGTACACTGTACGACAGTCATACAGTACTGTACACTCTAACTGTACTGAGTGTACAGTACAGTACAGTACTGTACTGTACAGTACAAGTGTAGAAGTCCCTACAGTGTACAGTACAGGCATTCTACAGTATTCTGCAAACTACTGTAAGCTCCGGACCAGATCAGACCATATCGATTTCTAAGTCCAGTACCGGTACTAGTGCGCCGTAGACCTCGACAGTACCATACTGGTACTAGATCGTAAATGAGCCTTTGAAGGCTGTTGCAGCCCAGGCCATCGTTCAGTTCAACTTCAATATATGGCTGTTCTGGCTACGATGGTTATTTCGGAGGGTTGATGTAAGTTACCGAACAAGTTATAATGTTTAGAATGAATTAAAAGCATTTCTACTGTGTATTAAGAAATCAATGTGTGATAGTTTCCGGGAATCAGTTACTGTAATGGTGTTGTATCTTCTAGCTGCTTTAAACACTACTTCCAGATTCGTAGTGGATTGATATCATCTTGTATATAGTCGAGTGTACCTTGATGAACATGATCGAGCTCTTAACCCTGGCTTTATTCTGTTAATCTTAGAAGATCTGTGCAAAATGAAAATTACTAGGTTAAAACATGTTCGACGAATTCTGTCATTTTATCATAATTCCTTGGGTATAAACGAACCCTATCAAATACTAGGTACAGTATAGACCTATCTAAATGCGTGTAAACGTATCAATCTCACTGAATACATCAAAGCATATTACGAACTTATTAATTCATATTCCTATAGTAGAAATGATGCGATAGACATATATGCTTAATATAACAACTCTCCTATGAAACGATCGCAATTGTTTTGCTATCATATATGCTTGTTCTCTTCTGATCTCTCTAAATACTAACTAAATCAATGTACTACGCGCGCGATACAATCTCCCACACTCGTAAATAGTGGATGGAACTTTCTGCCAAGCTGCTTTGTCCAACAAAATTTATATCAAGGAGCAACTACCAAAATACTTGGATGGATCGGTCAACCTTTGTACGTAATTCTCAATTATAAAATAAAATTATCAAGTGGAACAGAATATTCTCGAGCTCGCTTATTTGTATGAATTTGTCAATGTTTCTATATCCTCCATGCAGTACTCTATACGTGTAGTCGACGCCACTTTCAATGCTATTGTAAGCAATTGTACATGTATACACATCTCTTCATAAATGCAGTAAACTAGACTAGACGGTAACTTTATTCTTATACAGTAAACGCTGCTACTGCTAGGTGAACTCGGCAAATAGGATAGTAATGCATAAACTGTTTAATAGATACCCTAAACTATGCTAGGCATCCTTGATGGTGAATCTCATCAATCTTTGTATTTAATGAAAGAAAGCTATTTTAAATAAAAATTCAGACAATTATTTAAATATAGATACCTTGTCTGAACGATCCTATTATTAACAAATAAACGATTTACTAAATATCTGTTATTCCTTAAATTGAAGGTACAACTAAATGCGTCGTTCATGAAGGCAGAAACCTTGTTGATACCAACTATCCATCACTATTAGGAGCAGTTTTAATTGCAAAGCGATTTTACCAAAAGCAATGCCACCATAAATCAAGTTTGCCTGCTGCAGAATGCATTTTGGATCTTATTGGTACAATTTTCACCTATTTTACACATTGATTATTATTCCATTACTACAGAAAGATTTTTATTTGTATAAATCCCTTTCATGTAATATTTATTGTATTGCATGATCTAATGAAAATTTGTCAAATCCGAAATGTTGCTATAGTATGTCCTGAAATTGATATTTCAATATTGTAATTTGCATTGTGATAGACAATTAGTAATACAGAGATCACACTACTGCCATATTTGCAACGTTTTGAAGCCTCTCTGCATAGTATAAATATTCTACAGTTTTATTGCTCTATGTGATGTATCAATTGTTGCATAATAAATGTAACTTCCATGATTTATCATAGTGTGTAAATTAGTGGAAATTGTTAGCACAATTATTGTCACAGTGACATTACAATTGTACCCTTATTAACTTCATAAGTACACACTGTTTATTTTTAATTCGTTTCCTTTTTAGGAGAAAAGAATCAAAATCATTACTTTGTAGCAACTCAAGACAAAGATTTACGGGCAGCGTTGCGAAAAATTGGTTGTAAGTTGAAGATAATTTATAATATGTCATCAATGATTACAATAGCTGTGACGCTGATTCAACAAAAATATTTACTCGTATTAATAATAAATTTTGCAGGTGTACCAATATTGTATATCAATTATAATGCAATTATACTTGAAAAGCCATCAATGAAGACAAAAACAACTGCAGAGAACGTACGTTGAATCAAATAGCTAATTTCTGCCTTAAAAACATCGAAGAATGTAACCTTAGATATATTTGCTTCCAAAGTATTAGCGGTGTCATAACTGAAAATAAATTCTAAACTTGTTTAGATTACTCATGATAAACTTCAGCCATCACAGTACCAGAAAGAAGTTTTAAACCTAATGAAAAAGGCTTATCTTCCTGAATCACAAACAAAGTTTATAAAGCGCAAAAAGCGTAAACGACCAGCTGAACCAAATCCTCTGTCCTGTAAGAAAAAGAAAAAACAAATTGTGACTGCAGGAGAAGAAACGGTAATAAATGTTAATTTAAATAATTTATGAATAGCTGAAATACACTTTGGGCTTTCATGATATTACGTAGTACGTTTCTCTAACGATGTTTTAGTTGATCTTAATGAGGTAAAAACTGCTAGCAAGTATTTATACTTTCTATAATTCCTATATAATTTAGAAAAGAAAACGTAGACGTCGCTTACGTAAAGGAAAATCTGCCGAAGTCGCTGTTGCGCTACAAAACTGACATCATAAAGATAAAAATGGAATACTTCTAATTGAAATCTAGTTCTATTGTTTATTTCATTCCAGACTATCTCGAGAACCATCCGTTACATCGTGACTACACTACTTTATTTGTATGTGAGATTGTTATTTAACAGTTAACTCAGGATAATATTACAGAGATTCTTAAGGCTCAATAGTACATATTGACAAATTCGCATTTGAACAAATAAACATTAAAATCACGATGGACATCTTCCGTTAAGAAACAATCGGAAATATATAACCGGAAATACCCTTCTAGTATTTACGAAGGAATGAATGGCTTGTAATTAAAAATTTGAGCCGTTCTTACTGATTACTGAGTGCTGTGCACAATTTTTGTAAATCTTTACTATTGTGTGTATAATAACTTTTTGTAAAATTCAAAAAGATGCCCTTGCTACGGAAATTATTAGTAAATAAATGGACATTACGTATGAGTTGATGCAGTGTCAAGATTGAAGTATCAATTATGCAGAACGAACTTATACTTCGTTTTCTTCTTCTGGAACCAGTAAAGCGGACCTTAACTCCATTTAGATAACGAATTTAACTTTGGCAATCTAAAGAGCTGTAAACGATAAGATGAAACTAGACTTAAATTTCCCTCTGCTCATGATCATGAAGATTAAGCCTGTACAATCTATACGTTTCAAGTAACCAATTAAAGATTACCATAAAATCGTTTTATCTATCCACCTACATTTATGCATTTATTATCCGAATCTACGTGGTAAGCTTTTAATTCATTTTATAAATTGACGTATTGCTCTGCCGTTTATAAACTACAAAGGCGCCGGTCAACTTATAAATTGACCTATTACCAGGTCAGATATATACTATAAAAGCAATTTATTTAGTTTATAAGTTGATCGGCGCCTTTACAGTTTTATAAACGACAGAATGCATGGGTCTCAGTTTATAAACTGACCTGGCAATACGTCAATTTATAAGTCGATAGATCAGCTGGTAACCCGCCATTACAAGCCGACAATTTATAACTTGACTAGACAGCAAATAGACTGGACGAATAACCCGTCTGTACCATATACATTATATAATAGTGAAATGTTTGTTATACATTATTAATAGCCAATAACAGGAAAGAAATACAATTAAAACTCTTCAGATGTGCATTCTATCACATAGATTCATCCCATGAAATGCACGAGACCTGTTTAGAAGTTCAGAGTTGACATTGTTATAGTTAAACGTAAGGTATTACTGTTGCTACTGAATGTAAATAGGCATCTTTAGTTTTGTTTATGTGTACACCGGTATACAGCAGGACAAGCCATTAGATACGGGCTAAATACTTTCTAACTTCAATAAATAACCAAATATCTGACTCTACAATCTCATTCTAGAACTACACATCATTCCTTATATTACATTAAAGATAGTTATTGTATATCAATAGCTATTTTAAACAATATGTTACAACAATGGCTTTCCGAAGATGGGTTGACAACATGATTCTTGGTCACTGCGGTCTTATATCGACTATGTTAATTAAATTACTTAATCTGCACTTTTCAGTTTACAATATTAAAATAAAACTTAAGTAATAAATTTAATTGCTTCCGATATGGTCACCTGCTGTGTTTGTGACTATATTGCATAAATACAAAATCACGCTATTGGTTTGCTTCATATATTTAACCAATTATAAGCTATGATCGTTCTACTATTTGTAGAGAATCATCACTAGCAATTTAGTATCCAATTCATATTTCATTATTTTACGTTCTATACCACAGAAAACCTTAATTTAGAAAAAAATGATACATTAATTTATCAGATAGCAGTATGTAGCATAGATTAATTACGGGCGTCAATAGAAAGAATAGACAGCAATCAACAAAATAACATTAGCAAAAAGACATAAGTACGTCAAGGGTGAGTTTTGTCTTTCTAGTACCGTCGATGAATGCAGCTAATTCGAATACCGTACCGAAACTGATCATACAATTATGCAATATGTAAACCCTTAGATATTAAACAGTAAGATTTATAACTATCCGTATATAGTATAAATATAAAGGTCATAGCATACACACCCTAAAAAAGATTATTCATTAATTTTCAATTTAACGATATTTGTTGTAATATCCAATTAGATTAAATAAGGGCAAATGAATTAAATCACCTGTCATGCTATTACGTGCCATCCTTAGACTTCTTTAGGTCTGGTGTAAATATCATTATGAAAGAATTGACTTATGAAATGGCTGTTGTCATGGCGAGAATACAGTTAAATTGAAGGACAATATTTTACAATTTTCGTTAATTAGCAACATTTTAATCAGAAGTCGTTTTACTGTGATGTTGCGCAATATCATTTCGTCTATAGGGTCCTACGATACGAGATACTGTACATGTACACATGCTGTTACAAAACATGAGTACTAATGCAGATCAGCAAGATATGAATCCCACCTTTAGTAGATTAAAAATATTAACTCATGTTTAAGGTTAACTAAAATAAATTTCTCACTGTGCAACAGTAGATCAATTTTCTTGAACGAATTGATGCACAACTGTGACAGATACAAATATTTGAGTGTAAACTGTATATTAATCAAATTACGGGTATTGCGGGCATGTCTACAATGCAGGGCGGAAGCAGCATTGAGATATTGAGTAAACTTATTTTATAATAGTTACAATTGTTAAGAAAATTAAATAGCATTACTCTTTAATGACAGTTGACAGAAAACAGCATTCTTCTTATGTAGTATGAATTATTTTAAAGCTGTTGAATTGATTGATTGTAGATCTCAACTTGTCTAATCTATCATAGGTCTAAAAGAATTTTTTTAAAGTCAGAGGAACGTAAACAGACAGCAGTCATCACGTTTTTTTCCTCTATCAATATTAATTAAATTACAATCTATATCTAATTACAATTGATTTAAAAGCAACGTAGTATGATTCTACAAAATTTAAGAAATATTACTACAGATAGCTATAATCTAATTACTACTGTAGGCTGAATGATTACGTATTGCATAATAATGTACTTAGTTTGCGTATATGTCACACTGAGTTGCGATAGAATTTATGTTTGACGTTAGCTGAAATGAATTTTTGCAAGACAATATTCTCACTTCAATACTTGATAAATAAATTATAAGAATACCGGAAACTATTTTCTTTAAGATATAGCTTAATAATATTTAATATAAGGTAAAGTTATTAGTTTCAGTGTATTCCTACATCACCAGACAAGGGTCAAAAATTAATAAATACAACAGTCCACTGATACTGCATTATGACGACCATCTATGAAAAGTAATCAATTCGATTATTCATTTCGATAGACAGTTGCTATTAGAATATTGATATGATATCTATCTTGATACGACAAGTTTCAAGTAAAGATGATTAATCATTGTTTTCTTTGTTGATCCTCACTATTATTCCTTCAAATGTAATTTGCCAAATAGTCTACCTCCCACTTTCGCGTAAGGATATTACATTCTACGAAATATCAAAGAGCCCAAATACAAAAATTACTAAACTATTTATTGACCAATTAACCTTTAACAATGGTGTCATCAATCGTTTTCTCGTGATGAAAAACTAATGAGATCAATGCTTGAAAATATATTATGATTATAACTGTATGCCAGATAAGGCGAGTACTAAACATCAGTAAATTTGACGCCTCCTGAGCCAACATTTTATTCTGATAATATGAGATGGTAGGACTGTGTTATAAAATACCATTTATCTTAATATCAAAACTTTTCACATAACTAAGTAATTAAATATAAAAGACTATTTTTAAAGCTTATATTCCGGATATTTTATGTTTATTTCTATAGATATGATAGCTTTATTGCAGTAACAGTTAAAATTAATATATTATAGAAATACAGAGATTGATAGAACTTATAATTTAAGAATATTCGTTCATGCATGCAAACATGCTTATATAAACATGTTGTGCTCAATACATTTATTTCCTATACAGATTTTTCCAAGATATCCTATTGGGACTTATTTTACTTAAATACTCTAGAGTTTAGCATTACTTAGCCGTGTTAGCACACTACATATAATTGTATTTTTTCCATGATTAGCATAAGGCTATATTGCAATTACGTTATAAATATATACGAACAGTTCTTTTGCCTGTTCTCGTGTACTGTACAGTTTTAGGTATAAGGCTTACTGTATATATTTTATGACGACATAATACTTAGGTAGCGTAACCTACGTACAAGAATGAAGCAAAGAAGAAGATACTATCTCATAAAAATATCATTTATCACAGGACAACAAATTCTATGCAATCATTGACTTTATATGCTCGATTTACTAGATTTTTAACAAACACTACATTTAATTTAAGCCGTAGAGCAAATTTTCTAAGGATATTTTGTATTTAGTGTCAAAAAATCGTAATTGTTATTGACATACTTTTTTATGTCTCCCAATCACTTAAAAATGTCTTGATGAACGTACGATTCTCTATCTACACCAGTTTGCTTCGGCTTGGTAGATAAGTACCTACTTATTACTGCCGAGCTGGAATTCAACATAGCATTAATTTGTATAGTGAATGCTGACATTCTTTATTGCTGATCAAATCGCTCAATATGCTTACCAATATTAACAGGTAAGGATTTTAGAAAACGATAGCGTTTTTCTGCTATGCGCTTTCAAAAAAAGCCGCTTATACAGTTACAATTTTTCTGTCGGCTATCACTATACAGCATATTCACGTACGTTTATAATGCGTATCTGTTGTGCAACTATGCCCTACGATTAAC